CGACGTCATTCCCGGGAGTCCAGCCTAGGCGCTTGGCTTCAGCGACGCCCCGCCACTGCGTCGCCGCGACGCAACGTCCCCGGGCATGCCTACGAGCGGCGGGGACGACGTCCTGGGGGCCGCAGAGCGTGCCTGCGCGGCGGCACGGCTGTGGGGCACGGGACGGGCGCGCGACGCGCGATTCACTCGCTTCGCACCCGATCGACACACGAAATCGGTCGAAACGACCCATATATTATCTTCTCGGACGGCCTCACAAATGGCCGGGCGGGTGCGCCCTGGTGCATAGACCCCACCGTTCGAGTTTAGGAGGCCCATGGCGCGGCGTGCGTGCGCGAGGCCGTCGGCACCGCACGAGCCGTCTGAGGAAAGCGCGTGGTCAGCGCCGTTCGTACGTGTGCGGGCTGGGCACGCACATGTGACACCCCTCGGCGGCGGGCGTTCTGCGGTGTGCAGAGCGAGGCCGCGGCACATCGGTTGTGTGGGGCGGCGAGGTGGGTGTGTCGTCGCTGCACACGAAATCGGCCAAGGATGGGCTGATTTTGATGTCCTCCGTTCACGCCGACGCGTGCTGGGTGTATGCGCCGTGGTCCATGGGAGCCGGACGCCACGTTGGCAGGAGTCCGAGACGCGGCGTTCGAGCGCGAGCGCGGCGCTACGGCGTGGGTTACCGCGCAGCGTGCGCGGCGGGGGCTTCGTCGCACGGCGTCGGCGTCAGCGCAGACCGTCGATCTGGTCCGGGGCATGCGCTGTGTGGACGCTGGGGCGGGGCGGGGCGATGCGGCGTGCTGGAGACGCATTTCTGCGCGCGGGCGCCCTGTAATCACGAAGTGGTCAGTGCAGTTCTCGTCATCGCGCATTGGAAATGCACACACCGCGGGAGAGGAGCCGTCTGGAACTCGGCGTCCAGTGTCGAGACGTGCCGGCGTGGGGGACGCGGTGGGGAGGAGGGAGACGGTCCGTGCGATGGGAGAGGCATGGCGGGCGTAGTACGCGTGCGGCGTGTTCGCGAGTCGACAGCGCGCTTCAGCAGGTCCATATGTCAGTCCTCCTAAATACCCAGAGAGGGCGGCGGGGGTTCCCGCGCAGGGTGAAGCACTCTCGAGGGCGCAGACTGGCGGCGACTATGGTTGCTACAGTTGGAGCAATGCGGCCCGGGCGGGGCTGGGAACACACCTGGAGCAAGCGCAGGACGGTGTCGCCGGTCTCGATCTGATGAATCGCACGCGAGACGATGGCGGAGGACGCGAGGACGGGTTGAGTGCGGAAGTGTAGATCGAGCGCCGCACACGAAGGAGTCGCGCTGCGTCTTTGCACTTGCAGCAGCAGCAGGGCATGATGATGGAGAGCGTCGGCGGAGAAAAGAGGGGATGTGCGGCAGGTTCCCCGGGGGTCACGGTCGAAG